CCGTTGTTGTCGTTGTTGTCGTTGTTGTTAGTGTTGTGAACTTGTTAAAGAAATAAAAAACGAAGAGAGCTTGATATGCAAGCAAAATACAAAGTACTTTCTAGCATTTATTAATGATAACAACAACAATAAGGTACACAAATACTCTTACAAAGTACACATAACACTATAAAAGAACAAAAAAAAAAAAAAAAAAAAAAATTTAATGAAATATTTACAAAAGCCTCAAGTATTATTCAGAATAACCGAAGCTGCAAAAGATTATACGTCAAAACTATACCAGAGACAGCATGAATGCAGCCTATAAACATATACTCCTTATGTAAACATGTTGCTATATATATATATATATTTATTTATATTCTTACACACACAGGTATCATAAGCAATGTTTACATGGAGATAAAGATGATATTTTCTAAAATAACAACACAAATTTTGCATATATATATATATATATATATATATATATTTACCACCTTTATATGATATATATACAAACACACACACACACACAAATACGCTCGCACTTATACACGGACATGATGTATGCTTACGTAGCTTCTTTTTTTATTTTTTTTTTTATTTATTTATTATATCTAGGTTAACTGCTTAAATAGGAACATGTATGTATGTTTGTAGCCGTTCAATAAAGCATCATTTATTGAATGTAAATATAAAGTGAAAACGTGCTTTTGTGCAACTTCGGCCGGCACGTTTATCGACGATAACGATATTTTAGAGTTAGAAGGCGAGAGAAGCCAGAGCACCTCATATAAAGGCAAGATAATCAAATTGTTTCTGGAAGCGAAGGAAGGACAAGCGATAATTAATTTAAGCAAATAAGACTTTCATAATAAAAATTTACTTAGAACAATTCTACGGTGTATCGAATACTACGAGGTAGTGGAAGGGGGATGAAAAACGAAGAAAGAGTAACATAAAAACTTGAAACGCTTAGGGTTATGTATACCGCTTTGCCTAATACAATTCTTTTTTCTTCTTCTTCTTCTTCTTACTTTTCTCATAAAATATTAACAGTATGCTATGCTATATGATACCATATAAAAGTCTACTTTTCATGAGAATCCTTGAAAAATGAAAAAGATGTAAAAGGACAACTAACGTAAAGCATAGTTGATTTGTTCAAAAAAAAAAAACTTATTATTCTTCATCTATTGTCATTGCATAGAAATCAAATTGTTTGCCATATAAAAAGTTTGGGATTCACATGAACGTGAAAACCGCTTCCCATATGAAAATGATTCAAAAAATTGTCCAATCATATCCGAAATTCCGATATTGAGTTAATATATGAAAATATTATTTTTCACTAATTTTTGTTAAGAAATGTTACAAATTGTGAACTTTTTTCATATAACAGTTTTTTTCAAGACAGGGCAGGCCGTCCCTATGGCAAACGGTTGTAAACATAATCCCGAGTTTAGACTATTTTCGCTACATTTCGCTACTCTTCGGATCCGCAAAACTATCTTAAAAATGACGAGTTAATTATTTTGTATATATATATATATCAGACATTGAAACGTACAGAGAGATATATTTTTAAGTATACAGCATATTTGAAGCCTTCGTTTGGGTGTTGCATA